TCCACAAGACGGAACAGGTTAACCAGACCACATCCGGTACATACAGGACATGACAGCATACATATAGTATACATAACAGCATGAAAAATATAGGAGTGAATTGGATTAATGCCGAGATCAGCAATAATGCAGCTATGTGATTGGCTGCGTAGAAAACCAGTGGTTGATGGTATGAACATCACAAAACAGCCGAGGCACAGCTGGGGGGTTTAGCCTTCCCTAGTGGTCACCCACCAAAGAACTATCCATTCTCAAGCCACATTTTCTTAATTGTATGGTTATAGATTTTGGCTTACCACTTAGGTTGGGCTGGACGAAACAGATTCTAAAATAACTTTGTGTAGACAATATTTTGTTAATATTTTGGCATGAAATTGTTTGAGTTGGGTTAGTAGGAAACAAAAAATGTTGATTGTGAAAAAAGTGAAGGATGCTTGGTCTTCTTAGTAATATATCATATGATGTGTATACTTCTGTGAGGGTTTTCTTCTCTTTATAAGAAGGCTGCTGTTGCCAGTAGGGCTGGCTAAAAAGATCAATAATCGGATTTATCGTCGACGAGAAGATATATTAACGATTATCGTTATGAAATTGTTGCAATCGATAATAATTGTCAATGATATAAATTGTCGAAGACGAAAGCAACTGTTTTTGTTATATCTCAATGTCCACAAAGTAATCCATGCATAAACGTGTCACTGCTCACCTGCGGCTTGAAGTATGTTGATTTCCTTTGGGACTTTCTTGCATATTTGCTTAAAGTTACTTCTCTGATATTTATAAATAATTGATCGATATTTCGTTAGCGATTATCGATATCTATAATCTATATCGAGAACCAGCCCTCGTTGCCAGGGACAACATATAATGTTGATCAATTATTATGTAAAAGTTCATTTAATTTTGTATGCTTTTTGCAGTTGTATTTTGTAAAGTTTATAATCCATCAAAGACAAAACAGTCGTGCAAATGAAATAAATTAAAAATATTAATTTTTCTGATCATGTTTTTTTATTTTTGCCGGTCGAACTGTCCACCAAAAATCTAAAAATGTCGCCTTAGAAGCCATAACATCCAGCCAATCCAGTATCAGGCACAACTTACAACAAGCACATCACAAGCTGGCAAGTCCACAAAGTGGCGGAAATATTTGAATACACAACAAAGATAGGAAGAGTCCTGAGTTCAGAAATAGCATAGTCTTGGAACACCATTTTTACATCAATGATCTTTCAGTGAGTGAGTGAGTGAGTTGGGTTTAACGCCGCTTTGAACAGTATTCCAGTTATATCGCGGCGTGACAGCTTAATGTGGGGGGGAAAGCCCGAAGTGATGCAGGTCTCAGACGTTTACCACTTCGGTGAAACCCACGAGCACGGGTATGGTGCTGACAAACCTAGAAACATAATCGGGGCGAACCGGGATTCGAACCCACAATCATAGGTTTCTGGCGTGCCCAAGGGACGCAACTCTGCACAGCGAATCGCGGCGCCTTAGACGACTGGGCCACCCGTGCCCCCCAATGATCTTTCAAATGTAGTGGCAGCCGCATCATTTCATATTGAAAGCCTGCTTTATTATCGTTATGGTAACCTCTTTAACGGTTATTTACAATTCCAAAACTGTCACAGTGTCAAACAGAAGGCCAAAGGATAACAACACCCAGATCATTCTGTAATTGTTAACAGTAACCATGGTAACAGCAACACCATAAGTGACATACACACATCTAGTTCCGATTGTCAAGTTGCATTTATGTATAAACAACCTAGTTAACAGAACTACAGGCTTTAATACCACGACAACTTACAATACAGACACAAACAACTGGTCAAAACTGCTTACAGGGTACACACACATTATACTGGACACCAATACCCCATGTTTGTTTGATGCTTCTAATAAAGCCGCACGTGACAGCATCATTTGAAAAAAAGGGAGATGAAGCTCAAAACATGCTAAAAAATGACCCCACTTGCATTTGCATGGTTTAATATGAATTAAGCTTGAAATTTAATATCATAATATCATAAACATTGCAAATTGGACATAGAAGTTCCATAACGGCGTGGGACAACCTCATCAGTGACATCCGTCTCAGCCATTTACTTCAGATGCATTTGATTCAAGCCAGGGAGTTGGGGGCCAGCCCCCCAAACAAAAATGGGGGAAGGTGTCCGGTATACTGCATTCTTGCTACTTACAGATCATGAAATCAAATGCTTAAAGGCTTTTGATTTGGAATAAACTTCACCATTTAGACTTTTAAAATGAGAGAACACGCAACCACAGTCGCTCTTATGCTACACATACAGGTAGTGTTACGAAAAAAGTATCTGAAATATTTATTGGAATTATTCTATCAGTCTTACATAAATGTGCAAAGCAAGAAAAAAATAATAAAAAGTGCAAAGGTAGTTCTACTAGAGAGAGTAGTTCTACTGAGAAGATACAGAAGACATCATGGTACATGACATCACAAGATCACATGGTCATGGGTGCAATCACAGCAGAGAGGTAACCGTGGCAACACAGGAATGTGATTGACAGAAAGTTGATGGACATCTCACACTTTGCAAGCACTATGGAAGCTTCTTACAATAGCACTCGACCCTAAGACTAGATCTTTCTGTTGTGTAGACTGTTAGTAAGTGCTAGCACCGAAATCAAGGAATTAAATTCCTCTTGTCAATCCTTCTACTCCTGGGTATTTGGCACTCATCACCATTTTTCCATTTGTTGTTTAACACCGCACTCAGAACTATTCAAGCTATATGCTGCTGCCCTGTAAAAAATTAGGTCTGGACCAGAGAATCAAGTGATCGATATTGCAAGCAAAACTCCACGCCGTCAGGGTTTCTAAGTACCTGATCCATCAGTTGCCTATCGCAAACAGCACAGTTTGCTGCGGTCAGTTCACTCTCATGGCCACAAATGCCAAATACTGTCATCAACAGAGTTCATACTAGATCCCCACTCCAAGTATTAAAGCAGTATCAAAGCAGTATTAAAGCTTCACAGAAACCTGCCTTGGTTGTGTTTTCTTGTCAGTCGCGATGAGTGTATAATCCACATTAACTTTGTTTGTTTGTTTGTTGTTTAATGCCGCACTCAGCAATATTCCAGCTATATGACAGTGATTCATAAATAATTGAGTCTGGACCAGGCAACTCAGTGACTGACATCATGAGCATCTATCTACACAACTGGAATACAATGACATGCATCAACCAAGTCAGTAAGTCTCCTCTTATGACAAGCGTTGGTTGTTGAATACCAATTCTAACCTGGATCTTTACAGATTAACAGACCCTACAGACATTTCAGACACTACCTGTCAATGGTGAGGATGCAGAACTAACAAGGCGTTTCTGTATATGCAGGGATCAAGGTTTCCAAACTAAGTGCCCCTGGGTGGAAAATTGGGAAAAAAATGTTATTTTGTTCAAAATTGGGATGTTTTAAAATCTTATTTTCTAAAATTCAGAGGTATTTTAACAATGTATTTGGAGAATGTATTGAATTTAATAATACAACACTTAGTTTTGAAACCTCTTCCTCATTAGTCCTGTTATAAGTTGAATACAGGTTCTCTCTACATAGCCATCAAATTAGTTTTTAGTTATATTACAGTAAAATATGTTTATAATGAAAACACATTTATAATGAACTGACGGATACAATGAACTTATTTTTTAGTCCCGGCCATTTGATATAAGTATGCTGTATATATGCTTATAAAGAACTACAGTTATTACAAACTAAAATTAATGGTCTTTTTGAGTTCGTAGTTTACTGTACCATAATTTTGGAAATGTTTAATTCCAATTGTAAATTTTGATGACATTTGCAAAAGTCCAGGTCTAGATATATTATACTCACGCAGAAGAATGATCCTGCGTATTACATGATGAACAAAGATTTCAACCACTAAGCTACCTTTTCACAGTATCCAAACTCTGAAACTTCTGTAAAAATCCACACACCTTGTTTCCATGACAACCACGCCTTGTGATAGATGTGGCTAAAGTAAGGACAAATGGTTGCAATGTGTTTGGGTGAGTGAGTGAGTTGGGTTTAACGCCTCTTTTAACAGTATTCCAGTTATATCGCGGCTTGTCAGCTTAATGTGGAAGGAAAGCTCGAAGTGATGCAGGTTTCGGACATTTACCACTTCGGTGAAACCAACAAGCACGGGTTTGGTGCTGACAAACCTAGAAACATAATCAGGGCGAACCGGGATTCGAACCCACAGTCATAGGTTTCTGGCGTGCCCAAGGGACGCAACTCTGCACAGTGAATCGGGGCACCTTAGATGACTGGTCCACCTGTGCCCCCACAATGTGTTTGGAATGGCAAAGAGTTTATAAGCTGTTAAGCATTAGAAGATGCTAAATCCTACACCCTAATACATGGTTAAGTGACACACAAATAGTATCCACGAAATAATCATTGTTTCAACAAATCAACTGACTGTGATCATGGTCATAGATCAGCATCAGTGTTCAAACAGACCTCCCATGACAAATGTAAGTACATGGCATGGACACCAATACATTCTCCATATTCCATAACGATTCTTATACCACTGTAACAATCTTAGGAATACATTGATACATGTAAACCTTCACATACAGTAACTCAACAGACTTGCAATGTGAGAAATCTGCAAGTATATCAGTAGATCCTGTATGTTCTCACTTAATCCACACAAGGACTTCCCCTTGACTTGAACAAGAAATTACCTGGCATCTTCATGAGATTTCAAATACTTTAAAAGCATTTGTCATGCCATAAACACACATACCATATTCGACGTAATAAGCGCCCCGCTCTAATAAGTGCCCACGGCAATATTTGCTGATATATTGGCTGGTGAACCATCCCAATTACAACCCCTTCCGATTGATCAATGGACACGAGACTTATTTATTCGCGTATAATACACACTCGTGTGCTATATGCACCCATAATTATGGGCAATTAAATTATGGGAAAATTATATCTGTCGTACATAAACATTTCAGGCTGTCACCATAAACCACGAACTTTATCTTTCAACTCTGTTTTTTTTCCACCGAAATAATATTCTAATAAGAGCCCCCTGGGTGCTTATTGCGTCGAATACGGTATGTACTAATATTCACAGAATAATAAACATTTGCAAACAATTGAGAGTAATCAATACAATAATAAAACTTTTTTTGCGACTTTGGGAGAGTAATAACTACAAATTTAAATCATTCTTTGAGAACAGTGGAGCGTAATCACTTGAGACAAATAAAATTATTATATGTGTACTATGGTATGTCACATGACTGGCTCAAATACTACAGATAAGCCTCATAAATAAACCTATTTACAGCACATGGCCTAAACCGCAATGGTTTCATTACAGAATCACAGTAAAATCTTCGTCCCACACAGCAGGACACGAGACGACCCAAATCAACACCATACACAAACTATTTCCTCACGCTGAGCTGATGATGATAGTTTGATGTCTCTGGGATAAGGTTTTGCTCAACTTCATGACCTCTCTGACAAGGTTGTTTACTCATCAATGACCTTGACCTTGACCTCAACTACGACTTTCCACAACAAGGCAATCCAATGCCAACCTGACTTGAGTTGAGAGTGATCTTCTCACTCGTGCCCTCCAGCCCTGACTCGCCTCCGTACCGACGCTTCAGTTCCTGGTTGGAGAGAAACAAAACATTATTATGATTATGAACATAATAGGCTGGTGTATAACACTGCAACCAGCAATATGACAATATAGAATATAAATAATCAAATCTGGACCAGACAATCCAGTGATTGGCATCATGAGCATCGAGTGAGTTAATATGGTTTTACGCCGCTTTTAGCAATATTCCAGCAATATCACAGTGGGGGACCCCAGAAATGGGCTTCACACATTGTACCCATGTCCGGAATAGAACCCAGGTTTTCGGCGTGACAAGCGAACGCTTTAACCACTAGGCTACCCGACCGCCCTCATGAGCATTGACCTACACAAATTGGGATACCAATACATGAATCAACCAAGTCAGCGAGCCTGACCACCCGATCCCGTTAGTTGCCCATATAATATGACAAGCATGGGTGCTGGGCACATATTCTAACCTGGAATCCTCAGGGGGAATCATCACGATTAATCTTAAAGGGTGAGGTGAGGTGAGGTGAAATGGGGTTTAACGTCGCGTCCAAGATTATTGCACTTATATAGCGACGTGCATGCACATGTATGTGTGTGTGTGTGTGGCTGCTTGTACTAGTCCGGATTGATGCCGATTTATAGTGCTAGCACACTGAGATACCATGCCGCAGTTTTAACATGAATACCCCACTCAGACACAGTATACTGACTCCGAGCCGACCAGTCCTTGTTTTAGCCCCTTAATGCCGAGCGCCAGACAGGGTAACAACAAGTACCATCTTTTAACGTCTTTTTGTATGACGCGGCTGGGGATCGAACCCCGGACCTTCCGCTCTCCGGGCGGACGCTCTACCATTAGACCACGGAGGCGGTTAATCTTAAAGGGGGAGCAGGCTTTGTCCAATGGGCAGCCCCAGCAAATTGTATTCAATTCATTCAAAATCCCATCCTCCATTATCCAGTGTATCATATCTGACATTCTTGTACTCCAGTCTATCATAATAAAAATACACTGGACTCATTCACTACCACCCCTTTCCAAGTCTGGTTTGAGAAACGGGACAAGAAAATAGCCATCCAATTAAATTAATCTCATGTGTGAGAAAACTTTTTCAAAAACATTCATAAGAGAGACAAATACAATGTCACTGTCGTATTGAAGGGGAATTAATTATGACAGAACAGACATTCAACATGTGAAATACATTTTTGTTTGTTTGTTGTTGAAGCCGCACTCAGCAATATTCCATTATATGACGGCGGTCTGTAAATAATAGAGTCTGGACCAGATAATCCAGTGATTGATACCATGAGCATCGACCCACGCAATTGGGATACAGTGACAAAAATCAATCAAGTCAGCGAGCCTGATCACCCGATTCCGTTAGTCGCCTTTTACGACAAGCATAGTCGCCTTATACGGCAAGCATGGGTTGCTGAAGACGTGTTCTACCCCGGATCTTCACAGGGGATTGTTCATATTGGAGCATGTTCTTCAAGTGGTAACAGATTCCCTTATTCACCTTTGCCATCTGCATGAAGGCCTCATCAATGTTGGTGTTCTCCTTGGCACTGGTTTCCAGGGAGTCCAACATCCCACAGTTGTGGGCGTAGTTCTTCGCCTCTTCACAACTGACCTCTCGCAGACTCTCCAGATCTTTCTTATTGCCTGCGAATACAAACAGGAGTTGAGTGAGTGAGTGAGTATGGCGCAGAGATACGAGCAAAGAGCTTCCCATTAATGAACATATTATCATGCAGTAGAACTCAAGGACTTACCAATGCAGTAATCTGCCCGCTTGCCCAAAGTGATCTTTGTCCTTTGACGATCATAAGTCTATGTTAAAGTATGGGAGCTCTGAAGTCGCTCACACAACTCACCCACAGTTGGTTGGTTTGTTGTTTAACGCCGCAATCAGCAATATTCCAGCTATATGACGACGGCATGTAAATAATCAAGTCTGGGCCAGACAATCCAGTGATTGAAATCATGAGCATCAATCCACGAATGGGATCAATGACATGCAACAACCAAGTCAGCTAGCCTGACCACCCGATCTCGTTAGTCGCCTCTTACAACAAGCTAGAGCTACCTGGACCTGGGACATATTTTTTGATGACAATAACAATAAAACTGCAAAGTTACACTACAAGTGGCTTACGTTTCCATTACTTTCTGACAATGCACACATTCCTTTAAACTTTGATGTGTTTTGAGTAAACACAAAGCTTCAGCATGTTCAGTCACAGGAGTCCGTATCTAAAAATAGACGCCCTCATGCATATTCATGACCATCTCCACACGCGAGCCCGAAGGGCGTGAATATGCATGAGGGCGTCTATTTTTAGATACGGACTCCTGTGGTTCAGTATATGCATGATCAAATCTTTTTATGTGTGTATCTAATTACTTTTTGCCGGGGTTCCGGTAAAGGAATATTGTACCCAACTCTTCAGATCTACAGTCGGTACCCGGAAAGGGTTGGTAATGTGGGATAGTGTACACAGGTAGGGTCAACTAATGGGGGATCGGGTACCCAGACAGGGTAGGGTAATAGGGGATCGGGTACCCTGGTAAGGTCAGGTAATAGGGGATTGGGTACCCGGGTAGGGTCGGGTAATAGGGGATCGGGTATCCAGGTAGGGTCAGGTAATAGGGGATTTGGTACCCGGGTAGGGTCAGGTAATAGGGGATTGGGTACCTGGGTAGGGTCAGGTAATGGGATTTGGTACCCGGGTAGGGTCAGGTAATAGGGAATTAGGTATCCGGGTAGGGTCAGGTAATGGGATTGGGTACCCTGGTAGGGTCAGGTAATAGGGAATTAGGTATCCGGGTAGGGTCAGGTAATGGGATTAGGTACCCAGGTAGGGTCAGGTAATGGGATTGGGTACCCGGGTTGGGTCAGGTGATAGGGAATTAGGTATCCGGATAGGGTCAGGTAATGGGATTGGGTACCCTGGTAGGGTCAGGTAATAGGGGATTGGGTACCCGGGTGGCAAATATAGACTCGTCCCAGCCCTGTTCTATACGTCATGTTGATAATCATGAGAGTGATCTGTCACTAAGTATCAGCCTGATCACCGATGTGGCACTTACCTATCATCAACTGAACAATGGACGTTCCTGCGTATCTCTTTACATCTTCAAGCCAGCGAGGAATGTTGTCGAAGGTAGACCGTTTTGTGATGTCATAGGCTATGATAACGCCATTAGCACTTCTGTAGTAACTCTGGGTGATCGTTCGGAACCGTTCCTGACCGGCCGTGTCCCAGATCTGTAGCTGTAAGAAGTATAATATTAATAGTAATGGACTTGATTACATTTGAGCAAAATCTTAATCCTGCATTACTACCTTAATGCTGCTGTTTTCCTTGACTAGAAGGATGGAGCTGTGAGAGGCCCAGGCAGCAGAAGAAGTAGTACAAGGTCTTAAGCCATTGGACCCGTGAAGATTCCGGGGTAGAATAGGTCTTCAGCAACCCATGCTTGCCGTAAAAGGCGACTATGCTTGTCGTAAAAGGCGACTAACGGGATCGGGTGGTCAGGCTCCCTGACTTGGTTGATGCATGTCATCGATCCCAACTGCATACATCGATGCTCACGATATCAATCACTGGACTGTCTGGTCCAGACTCGATTATTGACAGACTGCCGTCATATAGCTGGAATAGTGCTGAGTGTGGCGTTAAACAACAAACCAACCAACCAACTTAAGCCATTGTTTTGTTCAACAACTCCAATCTCCTAAATATGTTTCACATGCCACTATCCATACTGTTCAATTACTTTGATGATGGGAATCTTTCCTTAGCTTAAAGGGCAAGTACGTCGACGGTTCTTGGTGCTCTTAAATGATGCATGAAATAATTTCCAAGTGTGACATCACACCTTGAATTCATGCACGATTCAACTCTCAAACTAAAACAATAGAGCTCCACACAGTGAAGTTGATAACCCAAGTGCAGTGCAGAGTAGCTGGCTTCGGTCATGTCTTCATTAGGTAGAAATGGAAGAGAAAGTTTGTGTGTTTTTCTAACAGATGAGTTACAAAATAAAAATTGCCAGCTTGATTAGATTAGACATGTTAGAAGCCAGTGTTTATCAAAGCCTAGATTACAATATAAATGGTGCCTCGTTTGTATGAAGTCAACCACTCTCCTACCAAGAGTTCCAAATAAATTAGGGAAAGCCGAGTACCTCTGCCACATCATCACATCTCACCCAGTCCATTAAACATGTTCAAGTTATTGCATGTTTTTCATCTGTCTACACATTAAGATAAACATATGTCATGAAATGTTAAACTTTCATTGAGAAAAAATGTAAAACAAAATTGTCCTATTTGCGTCTTTGTTTACATGGCTCCACAGGCTGTCACTGAAGCACTACGGAGAGTTTACTATACGGTCACTTTGATGTATAAAGATATATTGTCATGCACCTCACTGTAGTAGTATATCTACATCAGGGCTCCAGATAAGCTGCGTATCTGCGTGAAATACGCATCAGAAATACAGAAATATGCAGTAAAAAATAATCCAAGCGTATCAAATACGCAACGAACATTACAGATACGCTACAAAAACAGATTTTGTGCGTATCATCAAAATATTTAAGAATTGACCTTCACTTTGTGTGAGTTCATTGGAGTATGAACCTGCATAGAGTGAGGTCCAAACTGTATGAATGTCGGAGCTTGCGACGACGTTCATACAATGTTTGGCCCTCACTGAACAATCATGCAGTCAAGCTCTCTTACGTTTCTCAATATATACTGAAATGCTGAGACCAAGATTAAAGGTTCCAAATGATCAGAAATAATGCTTGTATGTATGTTTTCATGCTAGGGAATTCCCAGGGGTTTCCCCAGGAATGTGGAAGTAGTCCGTCAGTGTTTACGTCATTTCAAGAACACGGTCTCGTGAAAAACGTATGAACGTCAAATTGTGACGTTCATACACTTATGAACGTCAATTTCGCGGTCATGTGACCGACCTCTCGTCTAATGGAAAAGCCGTATATCGTGTAAACTTCAAATTAAAAAATTATTGTGAAGTAACCCTGCGTATTCGATTAGCAAATCAGCAACTTATTTTGAAATTATAAACGGGCATTCCGTCAACCTTGCCAAACTCCACGATGACAGTCACATCATGATCATTTGCCATCACACTTTCTTGTGGAAGTATCGTGGTATTTTTGAGTCCTATAAAGCTCTCAAACCCACACGACACCAGTTTGCAGGGACTAGATGAATAGTGTTTTTAAATATTTAACTTAAATACCCACATGTGTAAAAACTAGTGGGTAACAGAAATTTGAATACGCAGATAGAATTACTGATACCCAGTGATTTTAAAATGCATGGGTAAAATACCCACAACACCAAAAGCTTATCTGGAGCTCTGTACATAATTATACAAAACAATATGTAAAGTGCACGAAAGGCTTACATTAGGCCTGTCTGTTCTCATTTCAGAATATGTGTGTTTGTTTACAACCAAGAGAATAGTCTGGTCACCTGATCAGATAAGCCTTCACCCGCTACTACACTCTTGCAGAATAAGGCGAGCAGAGTTGAGTAAGCTCGGGAGTTAACCACTTTTATCATCCAAAACTGGCTCCCACAGAATATATGCTTGGATGAGATCAAGTGATATCTACACTGTAGATATCGCTGCAATGAAATTACATCACAATGCTTTGCAGACCATTGTGACGTCACAGGTTACCATGACGTCACAATCAAATGACATCACTATTGGCTCTGCTACTGAAGCTGTTAGCAGTACTTTTTACATTGAAGACTACTAATTACTGTCTACAAATTGAAAAGGTTGGAAGAATGATGTTGGATGATAAATAAAATCTCACCCTCGTTTCTTTTGTATTGTTTGTTGTGATACGATACATCGAAACTCGACACATGACATGTTATTCCTTAACAAGCCTTAACAAGCCTCGGAATTTTTCCACTTTTATCAACTCATGTTGATATATTTCATATCAAAAGACACTCGGGTGAGATTCTCTGTATATATTGTTTGCAAACAATGCTTCAGAACGGTAGACATACTTGCCCATGCTAAGGAATAACATGTCATGTGTCGAGTTTCGATGTATCGTATCACAACAAACAATACAAAGTGCATTATGACAACCCTACTCCCTACCATGCCTACTAAAGTTTTTTGTATCAAATTTCTATCTTGTCATAAGAAATTTGAACCATTCCATCAGTTTTAAATAACAGCCCTAAGACTTACGCCATAACCATGATAACCATTCATAAACAATGAAGCACTTGATAAGGATGTAAATATATTTATCAAACATAATTCAATAGCGCAAAAACATAGTATATAGTATATGTGTGCAAATTGTAAGCAAATAGATGACAACTTTCACTAAGAAGCACAACAAACATTTCAAAACATATTGATCATGTCTACATGATTAGGCATACATCACATAAACATGATAAATCCCCTTCCAAAAGATAAACAGAGGCTTCAAAACGGACAGTAACACAATAACTCAAAATATAAAAAAAACTTGGTGTTTGTAAACATATCATCAGGTTCATGTACACGATGTATATGGCAAAAAACTAAATCAGTAATTCGGTTGTGGTCGACAGTCTATAATTAGAAAGAGTGATTCATCAAGTATAAACAAAAGTGTTGTCGACGACTGTCAGCCAGCTGACTCGCCGTCAGGAAAATCGTCCATATGTACAAGATACATTACCAGCTTATAGAACAAATGGCCATCAAATTTGCCTCACCTTCACAAGTTTGCCGTCAATGTTCAAAGTTTTCATTGTGAAGTCAACTCCTATGGTGCTGCCGTGTTTTTCTGTATAAGTTCCCGATTTGAATCTCTGCACGACACAGGTTTTCCCCACACCTGCGTCACCAATTAACACTATCTTAAACAAATAATCAAACTGTTCATCAGGATCGAGTGCAGAGTGGTACGACATTTTCAAAATGAACCCACTCCCTCTGTCATTAATAATTTCCACCGTTCGATTCCAACACGGATGACACAGCTTCAATGGCAAAGTTTCATGTTTTGGCTATACCGGAAGTGACATCATTTTGTGATGCTACTTCCGTGTTGAGCTCGTTTGTCTCAAATCATGTGACAAAGGCAACAAGTGTTATGAAATATATACCAGTCATAATGCGCAAGTTAATGTGGAAATCCCATCGGCTTAGTTGGGATAAACCTATTTCGTTTTATGTGAACGCAATGCTGTCAATTAATAACGGGAGGTAACTCTTGTCGTGCTTAGTACGAGACGGAAATTCAATGTATAAATTAAATCTGCGTGTGTTCAAATCCCATTGGTTTCAATCTTTTTCACAAGTCTAAAAAGAAAGAGAACATAATGACATTCTTTGCCAAAATAGATTTTCTTATAATTGTTGTAAACCATTGTGCATTAGTTTGAATTTATATCATTGCGAGGGTGAACCATGTTCAAGTATTTGGCACGTCCCAGCACGTGATTCAGGTCTTTTAAAAAACACACACACAGGAGAGGGTCATAAAAATAAATACACATTTACATACATATTTAGGGAGGGTCATGATAAAATGGACATTCGGTGTTCAAATATAAAATGCTTTTGCACTTTTCATTTTTTGGGTGGGGTGGGGGAGGGGGGTTGTCATGGAATAAAATGTAGAGTAGCTTGGTGTGGATCATCAATATGACGAGCATTTTGGGAGGGTAATTATTTTAAGTACATTAGTGCATAAGAAACCTGACCCTGGCACATTGTAAGTGCACTCAACAATATTCCACCTATACGACAGCATCCTGTAAATAATCAAATCTGGACTAGACAATCCAGTGATTGATATTGTGAGCAATGATCACCGTCAAGGTTCGAGGAAGGGTTGGAGTTTGAGTAACTGTAGATTAATGCTGCGGTTAGCAATAGTCCACCTATATCACAATGGCCCATAAACAAATAATTCCTTACATTTTGAGACACACCCCAAAACAAAAAAAAAGGTTAAGTGTAAAAATATTGATATTCGATATTCTTTTGTCGAGCAAAATCTTATATCTTTAAAGCTTGCGTTGCAGCAGAGCTTAACATCATGTCAAGTTGATTGCTTTTTCACTCAACTCATTTTAAAAACCTGTAATCAGCATCCTTTATGGTCTCTGCTGCAACGAAGATGCTTTTCAGCTTGAGAGTAAATGTGGGATGATACGAGGGCTGAGACGGGTAACTTGGGGTACCCAGCTCGGGTGGGTGCTGAGTAGACCCGGATACCCACAAGTCTACCCGGACCCACCTTCCCGAGGCAAGAGAGTTATAAAAGTCCAGTTTCCACCCTTGCCGAACTTGTAGTTTTTTAATATGTTTGCAGAGTTGTTTTCCTGTCTTGGGTGTGGGTTATGTGAATCTGATGATGGTGACCATACTACACCATTGTAGAATTGTAGACACCATCTTCCCAATGCAGGGGAGGTAACTGACTATAAAAGACCAGTTTCCACCTTGCCGAACTAGGCTGGAATTATGGAGTTACATTTTGGCTTGACTAACGAGTTTATGCATAGTCCAATCAAAATCGCGCAACGAAATCGAAATCCGGTTAGTAAACTGTCGTGCAGCTTTCGGTCGTTTGCGTGATTTGCAAAGCACGTGCACCGCCAACTCGTTGACAGCATATATTTTCCGAGTCTTTTCACGTTTTTAATTAAGGGGCTCACGTGATTTGATGCACTTCGCGAGGTAAGACCCGTTTTATCACGATATAGATCTTGAATATCGATCAGATCGTCCTGACTGGACGCCACCATTTTGTTTGTAATGAATGCAAGTGATACCAGAAATGGAATCTGATTGGTCCATAGGAGAGGATTATAAAGGACATAATTCGTAATAGACATTGGTGGCGCTACGATCGAGCCCAAGAATTCCAGCCTGGTTTGGCAAGGGTGGAAACTGGACTTTTTAAGTCAGTTAACTCTCTTGCCTCGGGAAGATGACCCGGACCCGTGATTACTCACATGATATATTGTTTAATGACAAAAAATATGGCTACACTACAAGTCACGAATGTTCGCATTTCTTTCTGACAATGCACCCATTTCCTCTGACTTTTACATACACAAAGGAAAAAGTCAAGCACACCCTAATATATTTCATTATTGTTTGGTCCCAATATTTGTAACCGTCATGAAAGATATAATTACGGGAAGAATTATGTTTTCTCGAGATGATGTAATCAGTCACGCGTGACCAAAGCTCACGTGCCATGCATGGTATGCCCGTGCAGCATGCTACCCTCGAGTATCCCTGAAAGAGGTATATCCAAACGTTAATATTGCTTTTGAGTTTCAAACTGTTATTCCATGACATTGTGTGATCATGGCACGAAGGCGATTATCAAACGCCACAAGATGGCAAATAAGCGGCAAGCATAACGCAGGAGTGTCTTGTAATGCCATTGCTCAAAATTTGGGGTATCATCACACTGTCGTAAGCCGTTGAGTCGAGAAACATGCTCAGACCGGTGATGTACAGGACCGCCCCAGATCCGGAAGACCTCCTGTGACGACACATCGCGAAGACAGGGACCTTCTTCGTCTCATCCTCCGAGAACCCTTTTAACAAGTACTCGTCTGAAACAGCTGTGGTTGCCCAATCGTCGTTTCAGCATCTGAACCGTCAGTAACTGGCTGAAAGTAGCAGGACTGAGGGCTAGACGAGTCATAAAGCGTCCCTTGTTGAGAGATCACTACAGAGCCGCTCGTTTAGCATGGTGTATTGTCCGACAGAACTGGAATCTGAGAACTTGGGAGACGCATCATTTGGTCAGACGAAAGTCGCTTTCTGCTCCACGTCACTGATGGAAGAACGAGAGTTTGGAGGCACCGGAACAGGGCCTACACCCCCAGGAACATTAAACCGACTGTTGCATACGGCGGGGGCTCGGTTGTGGTTCGGGGTGTATCTCTCATGATTGCGGGTTGGATTTGATCACCATAAAGGGCAACTGAACAGGGGCTCAGTACATCCGGGACGTTTTGAGGCCAGTCGTCGTTCCTTATTTTGACAACCACCCTCAACCTACTCGACCTCAGTACATGGATGACAATGCCAAGCCTCATCGTTCGCGTGAGTCGTGGATTACACGAGGGACAATGCAATAACGACTCTACCCTGTCCAGCTATGAGCCCAGATTTAAACCCACTTGAACAGGCACGAGGTCCTCCTGTACAAGATTTACGCCAATTGGAAGCAGCATTGCATCAGGAGTGGTTGTTGTTGACCCATCAACAGATCCAACGTCTGACTGGAGGCATGAGACGTAGGGTGGAATGCGTCATCCGGGTACGTGGCGGTTATACCCGCTACAGATCTGTTTCACGTGTCATGTCAAGTAGAGACTTTAAGGAACATTTTCACATGAAACATCAAACGTAACTCGTTTACTTATCCTGCAGCTCCATATTTTTTAAGTATTGCCTAAGGTCAAAAACAGTACCTGTGTTACCATGAGGTTTTTGTCAGTAAATTCCAATCACAACTCACCAATATCTTCTTTATTTGTGGTCAAATGTTTGTTCTATCCGATGACATTGGTATCGCCCAGCTCCTGTGGTCTGTCAGCCCATGCCATGAGGGGTGTGCTTAACTTTTTTTCTTTGTGTTTATATGTTTGAATAAAGATTAAATTTCAGTCGACTTCAGTGTATGCATGACCAGATCGTTTTACACTACATCTAAATACATTTTGTCAGGGGTACAGTCAAACATTTTCTAATCGGGACCATTCTGTACCTATCTATTGAGACCCCCAGCGGGTCCCCGGGTTATAGTGGGGTGGGTACCCGGAAGTAGATTTGGACTCGTCCAAGCCCTACATGATACGAACTGTTCATCCCCTAAAACATAACAATTTTGTCGGAAGGATAGGTTGCAACCCCTAACTTAAGATTATTATTAAACTTTTGAACTGATCATTCAGTGGTACTCGGTCTTTCTTCTTCCAAGAAACACCGAAGATTTTTGAAGTTTGAACTGAAGGTGAGGTGAAATGGGGTTTAACAACATATTCCAAAATTATTGTCTTGTTTAGCAACGTGCGTGCGTCTGATTGTGTTGTTTATAGTGCCAGCCCAATGAGATACCATGCCACAATTTACATGGATACCCCACTCAGACACAGTATACTGACAGTTGACCAGTCCTTGTTTTTTCCCCTTAATGCCAAGCGCTTAGCAGGGTAACAAGTATCATCTTTTATTTGTTTAATCGACCTTCCTTTCTCCAGGAAGGGGCTTACCACAAGACAACAGAGGCGGTCCAGCAGCTAAGGAAGGTTAGCACCTACACAGCATGGCCACCTAGCTGACTCCTTTTTATCAAATACTTTATGAAACATTTTGAAGTATTGTCTGGGTGTAAAGTAGGTGAGGTGAGGGGTTTAACGACGCGCCCAGGATTATTGCACTTATATAGCGACGTGAGTGTGCGTGCGCGCGTGTGTGCTTGCTTGTGTTAGTCCGGACTAATGCTGATTTTATAGTGCTAGCCCACTGAGATGCCGCAGTTTAACATGAATACCCCACTCAGATACAGAATACTGACTCCGAGCCGACCAGTCCTTGTTTTAGACCCTTAATGCAGAGCGTCAGACAAGGTAACAACAAGTACCATCTTTTAAGCTCTTTTTGTATGACGCGGCCGGGGATCGAACTCCGGACCTTCCGCTCTCCGGGCGGACGCTCTACCACTAGGCCACGGAGGCGGTCTGTAAAGTCAGCTTGTTTGTGTAGTTTTTTAATATGTTTGCAGAGTTGTTTTCCTGTCTTGGGTGTGGGTTATGTGAATCTGATGATGGTGACCATACTACACCATTGTAGAATTGTAGACACCATCTTACCAATGCAGGGGAGGTAACTGACTATAAAAGACCAGTTTCCACCTTGCCGAACTAGGCTGGAATTATGGAGTTATAATTTCGTTGGTCTAACGAGTCTATGCAAAGTCCAATCAAAATCGTGTAACATCCAGGTTTGTAAACTGCAGATTTCGGTCGATTGCAGGATTTGCAAAGCATGTGTACTGTCA